GGTTCTGGCCACACTCTGAGATGGGTTCGAATAGCAGAACTAAGTTGGTGGCCATAAAAGTGATAACCAACGGGGCCAAGTGATGTCTCAAAGGACTCATGTGCACACTTCATCCATCCCCAGAACCACATGATTCCCTGAGAGTGACCCTAAGCACAGAGATGGAAGAGTCCCTGAGCAGGTGAGTGGGGCCCAGGCCCCTCCCCAGGTAAAGCAACCCAAACAGTAATGGCAGTCAACTTCCGCTGGGCCTTTTGTCAGCCCGTGACGAATGCTGGGACTGATAGGGAAAAGCGAGGTACAGAGAGAAGTGTCCTCAGGGTCTTTGCACAGGACAATTTCCCGTGCAGTGAACCCCATGCTGCAGTGAACCCCATGCCAGTGAGGGCATTCATGACTTTGGGACAAAATTCTTCTACCCTGGCCCTGGCACTCCCTGCCCTCCGTCCAAACTCCTCCCTTCACCCCTCCTGGCCTCTGCCACCCCATGCCCCTCCTCCCAGAGCTTGTACCTCCCTCCGCCCTTCAAATAGACGCCCAGGGACCACCCCCACAGCACATCTTCAAGCCGGTGTGGTCCCTGTGAGCAACTTCCTTCCACACAGATCAGCCTTGGGTAGGTGCCCAGCCCACTGGCCCCTCTCTGGCCAATCTACCTCCCTCTCCATGTGCTCCTACCTTCCGGGGTGCTGATGATGGGACGCGTTTACTCACACCGTGCCAGGTCCTGGTGCTGTGGGTGGGCAGGGGTCCTGGGTGGAACTCAAGCTGTCCCCAAGGCCCCCAGAGTGGGTGCTGACAATGTCCGGCGTACATGAGAAGGAAGACTGAGAGGCCCCGCACTCTCCCTGGGCCGCACAGCCTGCCCGGGGCCACTGCTGACATCGAGAATGGTCTCTGATGCTAGTGTTTGCCCTCAGCAAAGTCTCCTTCTTCTCCATCTTCATTCCTGCCTCCCAAAGCCGTCAGAGGAGGGCTCAGGGACCGGGGATGCGGGGGTATCAGGGCTCAGCTGGGACACGGCCAGGGAGCAGCAGTCAGCAGCTGCCGTGTGGAGCCGGTCACTGCAGGGCGGAGCAGCAGGCCCAGTGACAGCCCGGAAGCCACACTCAGTCTGTTCCGTGACTCAGCTGCGGCCCTGCCCAGAGCTCCCAGGAGTGAAGAGCAGCATTGAGGGGCACCCAAATCAGGCCCTTGACCCCTTCATTTCGTCTCCTCCTTCCAGTTCAGTAGATTCCCCCCCAGCTCATGCCTCCACATATTGTTGGCTGCCTAGAGAGACTATCCTCCCCCCACTGCAGCCTAGAAAGTCTTTTGACGCTGAGACCCAGGGGGCATGCCTCCACCTCCATGAAGTCTCCCCTGCTTTCATTGGCCTTAGAATGGTGTTAGTGTCTATATACCCCAGAGACCTGAAAGGGCTTAGATGGGAACTTGTAATCAGGGGCCTGAAGCACAGCTGTGCTGGTCACTAGCTGGGTCAGCACGCTCAAGGCACTGTCCCTCTCTGGGCACTGGCTTCCACCCCAATAAACAAAGGCATTGGGGGGCTGAGCAGAGAGTCATATGGTTGAGTGCACACACGTGGGAAGCCCAGGTCTGATCCCCAGCCTGGGGTGGTCCATAAGCACTGCTGGAAGCAGTGCAAAAAAGGCAAAACCAGAAAGGTAGGCCAGGGGCCGGAGCAATAGTACAGCGGGTAGGATGTTTGCCTTGCATGCGACTGACCCGGGTTCAATTCCCGGCATCTCATATTGTCCCCTGAGCGTTGCCAGGAATAACCCCTGAGCATCGCTGGGTGTGACTCAAAAAAGAAAAAAAAAAAAAAGAAAGCCAGGCCAGGGCATTGGGATGGGGTCTGGCGCCCACATGACTCTCCCTCTCTGCTGAATTTGGGCCTCCACCTCCTGCAGAGTCAGAATCCCAAGGCACCCCCAAGGCTCATGAAACCCCCCCACCCGCAGCTATGCTCAGCCTCTGAACCTGGTTCTGAATTCTGTTTTGTTTTCTGCGTCACATCCAGTTGTGCTTGGGGGCATGTGGTGTCAGGGTTAAACCCAGACTTCCCAGGCAAACCTGTTAAAGCTGTTCCCCCCGGGCTCCCCCAGGCCTGTCCCAGCCGGTGCAAGACTGTGTTTACACTGTGCAGAGGCCCCTAGACAGGGCTGTGTCCTTGTAGTGCTCCCAGGGACAGTCCAGCTGCCAGGGCGGGCAGGAGCTCCAGACGGCCCCATTGTTCCTGAGGTGGGGCTGAGAGGTTGAAACCCACTTTGGCACATGCAGGCATGCCCGCTGCTGTCCCCACTGTTGCTCGGGGAGGACATGACCTTAGGGTCACTGTCCCCATGCCCTGCCTTTGAGAGCAGCTGAGTGTCCCAGGACCCCAACCTGGCCCTTCTGCCCTCGGAGGTCAGGGAGGGTCTCAGAGCCCCATGCTGATCCCTTGCTGGGGCACTGCCCAGCAGGTGGGCTGCGTTTGTGGATGACTGAGGTCTGAGCTGTTTCCTCCTCTGTGGATTCAGCATGGCACTGGCCTGCAGACCTCTCAAGAGAACCACAAAGGGATCCATTCTCCCTCCCAGGAACTCCAGAGAAGCGAAGGTCTCCACAGCCCCTAAACTCTGCCCGCAGTCCCTATGGGCTGAGGAGGACGTGGGTTTTAGGTGGGTACTCCATGGCTGGGCTTCAGGCTTCAGACCCCGGGGAGCAGTATTGCCCCCATTTGACTGATGGGGACAGACTCAGAGAGCTGGGTCCATCTGCTGGGGGCTGGGCTGGGGCTCCAGGGAGGAGATTAGGAGGGACAGGAGGTAGGGGAGACACAGACCAGCGGAGAGCCAGAGTTGGCCAGACGGTGATGGCTAGTGGACAGAGCCGGCCTTCCTGGGGTTCACAGACAGCGGGGTCACACGCAGGAAGCACTCGGCTCCCAAGTGCTTTCAGGGCTTCTTCCCCAGGAAAGGGCTCAGCAGAAGGGGAGGGTCTCAATGATACAGACGGGCCAGGCAGGGGACGCTGCCCAGGAGAGACTCCGGGAAGGAAGCCCACCCAGGGCTGTGAGATGTGGGGTTTAGACCCATATGCAGGGCGCCACGGAGCCATGGAAGGGCCACGAAGGGTGTGAAGCAAAAATGAAGTTCCCTCTTGCAGATGTTGGAATAAAAGGGGGGGGGGGGCGGGCGGGGGAAAGGCAGCAGCCCCGGGCCAGAACTGGCTGTCCCAGATCCGCAGTCCCTGGAGTGATGGGCTGAATGCAGATGGGGTGGAGGTAAGAGCCTTAGGGGACCCCTGGTGGGGTTGGCCTGAGCAGTGGGGAGGCCTCAGCAGGAGCAGAAGCGGGGTGTGCGGGGGAATCTCTGGATCCCCAGGTTTGTGGCCCCGAGAGTGGGGTCTGGCATGTGGGCGGGGCTGGAGGGCAGGGGGTGAGGGGTCAGCTCGGAGGGCAGGGAGGGCTGCTGGGTTGTGGTTCTGTCCAGGCCTGTCCAGGGTGTCCGGAGAAGGGCCCATGCAGGGTGGGGCCTGAGTGGAGAAGAGGCTGCTTGCAGGGTGCAGTGAGGGGCTATGGGGGTTCAATTGGTGGGGAGTCGGAGGTTCTCAAGCAAAGGGAACAGAGGGGCAGAGGGCAGGGAGGCAGGAGTCCGCCGTGTACTCGGGGCCATGAAGGCGGCTGACCGCTAGGGCCGTGAGGGCCGCCCGCCGGCCCCTCGCAGTCGGTCTTGCAGGGGTCTGGGGAGCTGGCGTCCCCCCTTTGCCCTGGGCGGCTGTGCTGCGAGGTAGGGAGCCAGGCTTGTCCTTCCTTCAGCCCCCAGCCCCACCCCGCGCGGCCCTGCGGAGCAGCCGGGTCTCATTAGCGCCCCCCCCCCCCCCGGGGCCCCTCGAGTCGGGGGGTCTCGGCGGGCGGGAGGAGGGGCCGGGACTTAATCAATCCCAGGCCGGAAATTCCTCCCGAGGGGCCCGGCCCGGCCGCGGGAGCTGGGGGCCCCCGCGCAGCAGCTGGCGCGGAGCCCGGCCCGCCCCCCGCATCATGGAAACTGGGCGGCCAGACCCCCGCGCCCCGCCCCGCATTCCTGCTCCGGGGCGCGGGGCGCGCAGGCGGCGCCTCCTCGGACCCTCCCCCCGGCTCAGGACCGATGCCGCCTCCCCACCAGTTCGGGTGCATTCCACCGAGGTGGGGGGTCCGGCGGGACCCGCTCCCCGCTCGACTCACTAGCTCCGCCGGGCCTTTCCTGCGCGCCCCTGGGGACCCCGGCGCCCCACACGGAGAGCTCGCGGGGAGACCCGGGCAGCGCCTGGGCGCCCCCACGCCGGGTGCCTGCCTGACATCCTGGGGTATACAATTGCAGCTACAGCGACAGCCTGAGGGGTCGGCCGGGTGGAAACTCAGGCCGCCTCCTCCGGGGAGCCCCTCGGCGGCGCCGAGCATGCAGGGAGTCTCTTAAGAGCTCCTCGTGAGTCCTCTCCTGGAAGCCTGGCGCGAGGGGTTCTGAGCGCTCGGGCTTCGAATCCAAACCTGCGCTCTCAGGCTGCAGAGCTGGGGACAGGGGACTGTGGCTCCCGGGCCTCAGTTTCCCCACGAGAGAAAAGGGCGACCTCCCTGGCTTTTAAGAACGAAGTGAGGCGGGGACACGGGTCCCGGAACCCTCGAGCGCCCAAAGGCCACCTCGACCTGGAGGTGCTGCCCGGCTACAGAGGGGGTCTGGAGAGGGGTGTGGCTGCGCTCCGGGGCACGGGCCAGGATACACGGTTTTGACTCGCGGGGGTGGGGGGCGGGCCGGGAGGATTCCTGGGGACGGGTCTGGGGGTTGGCTTGCGGGGTGGCTCTGACTCCGTGGGATGGGCCGGCGAGGACTCCGGGGGGTGGGCTGGGGAGGATTCCTGGGGACAAGCCTGAGGGACGTGTCTTGGCTCCAGGGGGCGGGCCGGGGGGGCGGGCCTCAGGGGTCTTGTCTCGGGGAAAGCGGGCGGGGGGTTGTGGCTTGGCTCCGGGGGGCGGGCCGGGAGGCCTCGGGGGGCGGGCAGGGGGCGGGCCGGGCCGGGGAGGGGCGGGGCCAGGCTCCGAGCCGCGCGGAGGCACCGCCAGCCGTTACGCGCGACTTCGACCCGGACCCACGCGGGCGCGGCTCCGCCAGGTGAGCACAGCTAGGGTCCGGGGCTTCACCCCCCATTTCCCCCAACTTTTCTGTTCGGTCCCTCCCCCCGGAGAGTCGTTGGCGGAGGCGCCTGCGCCTTCTCTCCGCGGCGCGGGAGTGTGGACGCGGGTGGAGGCGGACCCCGGAGTGCGGGGCGCCCGCCCCCAGCAACTTGCGGCGACCCGGCATGCAGGGCCGCGCGTCCCCGAGTTCGCGCTCCCGGGAACCCCCGACCGAGACTCTGGACCCCGCGACCTCGGAGCGGGGCCGCGTCTCTGCAGATCTCCGGCTCCTCCTCGCCGGGACACGCGGGTACTCGGGGGGCCGGTGTGCACTTGGGACTGCGGCGCCGGACCTGACCCGGGACGGGGCGGTCACTCCTCTGGCCGCGGACCGGGGACAGGGCGCCACAGTCGAGGTGGACGCTGCAGCCGGCTGGCCCCTCCCAGGGCGGCGGTGCCCGGAGAGAAGTGCCCGGCGCTGTGAGGGTCCCGGGACCGAGCCCCCCGCCTGACGCGGCCAAGGGACTCGGGCCGCCTCTCAGGTCGCCGTTTCCGTCGGGGAAAACCGGGCAGTGGACTCGGCCTCCCAGGGCCCCGCGCTAGGCCGTGCGCCTTCGACTCTGCGGCGGGAGCCAGGGATGGGGCGTCCTGCCCTGAGTTTCGGGGGTGCGGATGGGGAGAGGGTGAGGCAGTCGGTGCTCCTGCTCCGGACTTGGGCTGCACGTCCCGAGGCTGGAGCTGCTTCAAACCCAACCCGGGCGGGCGAGGACACGCCACCGAACCGAAGGACGCTCGCCCGCCGCTCTCATCGCTCAGGGTGCCCGGGCTGGGACCCCATTTGTCCGCCAAGCTCCCTGCGGTGCGGGTCACGCCACACGCAGCCTTGGCGTGCTGCGGGACGCCTGCCCCGGCCCGCACCCAGCGGCCAGGCCACAGGCGGGGCGGGCCCCGGGGCAGCCGAGGTGCAGGGGCGGCGCTGCTCGGGCCGGGACGCGGGCCACCGAGGCCTGGGGCGGAGGAGGCCAGAAAGGAGGCCAGGCGGCGGGAAAGGGGATGATTCATCCCAGGAGCCCGAATTGGAAACGCCGCAGCCTGGGAACAGCCTTCCCGGGGCGGACGGCGGAGCCAGGGGGGGAGTCAGGCGAGGCCTGCCCCCGGCCCCGGGTCCCGCCGGGCGGCCGCGGGTGCGGGCACTTGGGCGCCGAGTTTGCAGGGCTCCCGGGCGGAGTCGGGCGCGGGTCCTGCTCAGGGCGATCCCGCCGGAGTCCCGCTCAAGTGTCTGCTGCTGCAGCCTCGGTGCAGATGAGGCGATCTGGGAGGAGGGGGCAGGAAGCGGCAGAGTCGGCGACAACCCCCCGCTCCCGCCGCTGCGGTACGTGAAGCGCAGTGGGGGGAGGTGGGGCCCGCAGCGACCCCGGCGGACCTGCGTCCTCCCCCGCGCACCCTCTGGTCCTTTTACTACGGGGCCGCCACGTGCGGGGGTGAGCGCGGTCCGGGCCCCGGCACCTCCCCCGGCCCGGGAGCAGCCCGCGCCCCTCCCGCTTCCCGCGGCCCTGGCTGCGCGCTCCGCTGCGGAAAACCCGAACGGGGGCGGCTCCCCCGCCGAGCGGCCGGGGAGAATCCGGGGGTGGGCGCCCGGAGCGCGCGGCCGGACCCCGGGGCCCGTCGGTGCAGCCCCTCCCACCTTGTCTCCGCAGAGCGCCCGGACGCCGGCGAGATGACGGCGGGGAGCCCCGGAGACTGCGGGGAGGTGCGGAGGAGCCCCGAGGGCCGCGTGTCCCGCCTGGGCCGGCGCCTGGGCCGCCGCCGGCGCCCGCGCACCCCGCCCGAGCCTCTGCGGGTGCGGGCGCGGCTGCGGCTGCGCTCGCCGTCGGGGGCGTTCGCGGCGCTGGGGGCGCTCGTGGTACTGGTGGGCATGGGCATCGCCGTGGCCGGCTACTGGCCGCACCGCGCCGGGGCCCCAGGGGCCCGGGCTGCCAACGCCAGCGCGCCCCCCGTGAGCGAGCTGCGACGGGACGGCCGCGGCGCCGGCCGCGCGCACGGCCCGCACGAGCGGCTGCGGCTCTTGGGCCCGGTGGTCATGGGCGTCGGCCTGTTCGTGTTCATCTGCGCCAACACGCTGCTCTATGAGAACCGGGACTTGGAGACGCGACGGCTTCGCCAGGGGGCGCTGCGGGCCCAGGCGCTGCGGCCCCCCGACGGCCCCGGCTGGGACTGCGCACTCCTGCCCAGCCCCGGCCCCAGGACTCCCAGAGCCCTTGGCTGCTCAGAGCCGGACAATTGGGACCTGTCGGCGTACCGGGGCACGTCGCCGGTGCCCTCCGTGCGGAGTCTGCGGTCCGAGCCTGCGAACCCTCGCTTGGGGCTCCCAGCCCTGCTCAACAGTTACCCTCTGAAGGGTCCGGGACTGCCCGCGCCTTGGGGCCCACGAGCCCAGACTGGCCACGTGATTATCACCGTGCAGCCTTCCGGTTCCTGCATCGAACATTCCAAGTCTCTGGATCTGGGCCTTGGAGAGCTTCTGCTCGGGGCCCCGGCAGCACACGATGGTGCCCACCGGAGCTGGCCACGACTGGAACGCCTCAGTCTGGGGGGTTATGCCAAGCTGGGCGAAGGGGACGTGGGGGCCAGGGTATGAGGAGCACGCGGCGGCCACTGGGGCGGGAGTTCCAGTGTCCAGTAGATGCTTCCCCATGCACATCGCAGAAGGGGAGGACGCTTTGCCTCCCCGCTGCTTGGCCGTTCTGACCTGCATGTGGCAGAGAAAGGCCAGCTGCACAAAGTCCACTAAGCTGGAGTATTTCACCAGCACGACTGGCCTCAGGGATTCCTTCAGTCTCCCTGCGTGGCCTGGGCCACTGCAGGTACTTGAGGGGGCTGGAGGGTTCGGGCCACCGTGCCAGGCACGCCCTAAGGAGTGGGCCCCTGGGAAGACGCCCCGTGTGAGGTCCTCAGATTCCCCACTGCCGCCTGGGAGGGGGACCGAGCCTTTAATCCCACGCCCCTCTTCTCTCAGCCATGCAGGGTTACCCCACGAGGGCTGCCTTACTGCCAGAGTCTTCATCCTCAGGGGTGCCCCACCCCAGGCGGTTCCAAGGAGCCTCCTCCCCTCCGTTGCAAAATCTCTCCGGTTGACATAAAGCATTTGCCACTCAGCACAGAATCCCTTGTGTGTGCTGATGCTGTACTTGGGACAACGGCAGCAGCTTCCTTCAGAAAATGCTCATGTCTGGGCCGCCCTGCCCGGGTATCATTTTCCCTAGGTCGCTGGTAGAAGACAATTTGAGAAGCTGATGAATCCTCACAGAGCCCATTTTTTGGTTTGTTTTGTTTATTGAAAAATGCAATACAGGAAGCAAGACCAAACATGTATCTAAACACTACAACCACTTTTACTACGAAAAGCCCCAACAGCAGACCTAATTATTGCCTAGTTAATCTAAGGATTTTGCCAATTTTATTCTGCTGTCGTAATTCCTATTTTGTCAAGAAATGTAAACAACTACTTGATATGATTCATAATTTTTTAAAAAATTTACAAAGCTCCTTCATTTTTTTTTTGTCACCAAAATAATACATTTCAGAGAGATTTGTAAAAACCAGCCTGGGGCTGAGATTCTGGGCAGGTTCCGTCTGCCTCACCCTGGCCACGGCTGGGGCTCTTTCCCTGGGGGGCTGTTGTAGCCCCCCACCCTCAGCGGAGACACTCATGTCCTGCTTTGGGGGTGGGTGAGTGGATGGGTGGTGAAGAACTCATGTGGCTTGAAGGAAATCTTTATTTCTCAAGTGAAATAAAAATAAAATTGCAGCAGAAGTTGTTACTGTGTTGTGTCTGAGTCACTTTAGGAAAATTACTGCCACGGCTCTGACCCTGGAAATGAAACTCTGGTTTCCCTTCTTTACCATTTCCACCTGGACTGGGTCTGTTTTCCTTCATACACACACACACCCACACACCCACACACACATACACACAATTGCAGGAAGAAAAAAGTCCAAACAACTGCCAAAACCCCAAGATGTGTGGCTGGAGAGGGAGGAAAGGGAAGCTGGGAAGGAACGTGCCTATTTTTTTTTCTGTTCTTTTTTTTTTCTTTTTTTTATTTTTGTTTTGGCCACACCTGGCTGTGCTCAGCACTTACTCCTGGGTTGGGGATGGGGGGGGGGAGGCGTTCATAGGAGGTGCCAGGGATCAAACCCAGGTCTGCCTCTTGCAAGGCAAGCACCCTGTGAGATGTACCATTGCTCCCGCCCTAGGACATATTTCTTGCTGGTTTGGATACTCGGGCACTTCAGCCCGGGATGAGTAATCAGCCCCTCTGGTCTGGATTAGAGACGAGGCAGAAATTGCAGGGAGACACTGAATGATCTGGAAAGCAGAAATACTGCCCGGCCAGCTCTGTGTGTGCACTGTGTCCTCTCCTGCCTGCCTCTGCACACTGCCGGCCTCAGCAGGAGGCGGGCGTGGAGGTGGGCCAGGAGCCTGGCAGCACTGGACGGCCCCTTCATTTCTGACCCTCCCGGCACAGCTCCCAGGCTGATCCCGGGTCAGTCATACCCCCCTGCCTGTGTGTGTCCTGTCCCGAGAGAGCAGCCAGTGGGCCTGTCACAGTCCCTCTTCGTCTAAACAGATGACACCACCAGCAGACTCCGCCAGGTGCTGTTGGCCATGCTGCCAGGAGCAGGGCTGTGGGGCACCGTCTCTCCTGCTTGCTGCCTGGGGTCCTTGCTGGTTGTGACATGGACCCTGTCATAGGGAGTTCCCGTCTGCACTAGAATTAGGAGGCTTTGAGGCAGATCTCTTAGTGGGAACAGATCTCTTAAGTTGGAAGATTAAAAGGCCCCATTGACCAAACATGCCCCCCAGGGAAGCTGGAGAGAGAGGACAGCAAGGAGGGGGTTTGCCTTGCACATGGCCATCCTGGGTTCGATCCCCGGCACCACATACGGTCCCCCAAGCACTGCCAGGAGTAATTTCTGAGTGCAGAGCCAGGAGTAACCCCTGAGCATTTTGGGTGTGACCCAAAAATGAAAAAAAAAAGCCCCCAAATCTACCAGGAATGGTGGAATGGGGACATTAGTCCTCATTTTCAAAACCAAACCAACTAAAAAAAAATCATACCCAAAACCCACTGCAAAAAGCAAACCTACAGAATCCGACAGACCTAGATGGTGAGAGGGAAGGAGTGGAGCTGGTGTTGGTACTCCGTGTCAAGAGAGGCTCTGGGGAGGATGGTGCCCGTGGGCAGCGGCGGGGCTGGAGAAGAAAGGTCAGGCCAGTTCCCATCAGAGCGGGCTCCCAGCTGAGGTAACGCCACTGTCCCCACGTGCAGCAGTTCCAGAACTATGGAAAACAAAACCACCACCCCAAACTTCACAAACGTCCCTTGCCCAAATCACCACTGAAAATGTGCCATTAGAGCTTCTGGCCCGAAGTGCCTGTTTTCCCCGTGAGTTACGGTCTCCTGAGATGGGCTCTGGGGGCACTGAGTAGGGCCATACTTCGGACGAGGTAAAAAGGGCAGTTGAGGGAGGGCAGGAAGGTGAAGGCCACGGATATGTTCCAACATTCACAGTATCAGATAGATCGGAAGCAACTTCTTATGTCTTTGATCTATAAAAGCTCCAAAAAAAAACAAAAAACAAAAAACAGAAAAAACAAAGCAGGAGGGAGGGCGGGAGAAAAATACACTCTTAGCAGAGCTCTTGCCCTCCCACAAAACCACTTTCAGCAAAGGAAAGGGGCAGATTCCCAGGGCCAGCGGCTTAGAGCCCTTTCTGATCGAGTCCCCGTCACTGGCCCTGAGAGGGGGCTGTGGTTGTCATCCAGAGGGTATAAAAGGAGGGAAGGGTCTGAGAAATCCCATTAAGCTGGCTTTGGCCCCAACACAGATGACAGAGTGTTTGGAGAATTTCCCCCAATCCTTTGAACTCTGTCAGTATCTGAGTTGGAAATATGTGGGAAGAGGCGAGGCTGAAGGGGTTACAAACCACCCCACTTAAAAAAAAAAAAAAGAGAAAGAAAAAGAAAAAGCTCATTTAAAAACAGTCCACAGAGTGAAAAGTCGAGCAAATTCTGTTATCACAATGTAGAAAAAGGTACTTGAAAGGATCTGTGATATCTAGCAGATTCTTTTGGTATAAACTCCAGATAGAAAATGAATTGACTTTCCGGTGGTTTTGAATAATCTTGAAGGTCTGAAGTCCGGCGGGGACAGGCTCACTTCGTGATCATTCTGCTGGTTTTCTCTTAAGACGGGAGCTGGGGAGGGGGCTGGGGAGAGGAGGATTCCTAGTGGAAAGAAAGAAGTGCACTTTCACAAGGTGATGAAGGGAACCTGCATCTGCTCCTACTGCCCGTATTCCTGTACGATGACCAGAGACAGCCAGGGCCTGCTGCTCCAGCCGGACATGGGCACTGACGATTTTGTCAGGGCACCTACTTTTATTATTTATTTATTTATTTATTTTTTTGCTTTTTAGGTCACACCTGGCGATGCACAGGGGTTACTCCTGGCTCTGCACTCAGGAGTTACTCCTGGCAGTGCTCAGGGGACCATATGGGATGCTATCCGCTGTGCTATCTTTCCAGCCCCAGGGCACCTACTTTCAGGTGTGAATAATTTGGGTCCTGACCTCCCCAAGGCAGCGACCATTCTTCCAGCCCTAATCTGGTCCTTGTGCTGTAACCATTTCTCCCCGCTGACAGCCTGGCCCTGGGGTCCTTGATTCTACTCCCTCCCCTGGCCCCCACAGGGTGATGCTCGAGGCAGAGGCAGAGGCAGAGGGTGGGCTGGAGAGGCAGGATTCAGGAAGTAGGGCGGGAGGGGGTTCCCTCTAACCCAGCACTGTGGAGGGGAGGAGGCCACGAGGCCATACTTTAGACTCTCTGTCGTGGCCCTCGTAACCTCTGCTCTGCCTGCTCACCCTCAATCACAGAGTGGATGCCTCTGGGAGACATGCCCAGGGTCCTGTCCAGTGTGTGGGGGGGGGGGGGGCACGATGGGTGGGGGGGAAGTGGTCAGTATGCATTCCCCATCCCGGACCTGAGCTCATTCCTCAGAGATTTCGGTCTCCTGATGGACGACCACCTTGGTCACCGACATGTCGGGGTGCTGCTCCTTTGCCTCTTTGATAGCCTGCACGAGGACCTAGGAGAGGCAGAGATGCTGTGTCAGGGGGACGGGGCACTGGGCAAGCAAGGAGTCACGGCACTGTTCCTTCTCCTCGGGCCAGTCTGAGCGGGACACAGAGCACCCCAGGTGGAGGAGCCTGGCGCAGCCTTTGGGGGACGGTGACACAGGCCGCCTAGGAAGAGGTATCCCTTGACGGCTCCTGGCTCCAGGTCAGGCTAGCGCCCTGGCCCCTGGACTATGTGCCTGCCCCCAACCAGATCCCTGATGCCCCTTCACATCCCGGCCGAGCTCCTGCTCTGGTTCCCGCCCACAGTCCTCTCTCTCTCTCGGAGCCTGCAGCCACTTCTCCTGACAGACCTTCCAGAGCCACCTGAGCACCCTCGGCCTGGGGCAGGGTCAGAGAGACCCTCTCAGAGCTCGCTGTGTCCCTGTCCGGGATTGTGACAGCCCTGCACAAAGTGACCTGCGGTTTACAGGTGGCGCATCACAGCTCCTTGGAGCACAGGGATTTGTTCGAGGTCACACAAAGTGACCAAGGCAGGGTTCCACCCAGGTGTGTCCCACGCCAAGCCCCCCTCGCCCCGGTCCCCGTCCCAGTGCTCTCAACTCAGTCCACACGCAGCCGGGCTCTGGTGGCACCAGTGGAGGGTGGGTGCGGGTGGTGATGTGGGGGGATCCCTGTGAGCCGGGCCCCACACATCCCGCCGTCGGGACCCTGAGCGGGCGCGCTAGGACTGGGTCCTGCGTTTCCATCCTGTTCCCTGGGCACTGCCAAGCACGGCAGCTCCGTGTCGTGTTTTTCCTCCTCTTTAAGCCACTCAGCAAATCTGCATAAAGGCCACAGAAGGCTGCTCCAGCACGGCTGCCAGGGATCCCAGGAGCATCTGCAGTCTCCTCCACCCCCTCTTCTCGGCAGCTTTTCTCTTCTAGCCTCACGCAGCAGAGAATCGGGAACATCAATCCTGACCTTGTTCTTCGCTAATTGCTTGTAGCGCACAATTAGTACCCAATTAACATAAAATCATAGAATTCTATCACTCTGAAGGGCCCTGGAATGATCTAGATCAACCTACTCTCCTCCGGAGAGAAGGAAAATCGGAGGCCAAGTGATTTGTCCAAGGTCACACGGTGGGTCAGGGCCAGGTCTGGCCCGAGCGCAGGCTGCAGGGCCCCCCAGTTTCTAGCCTGTCACACCATCACCCCTACTGTCTGTGTCCACGCCTGCCCCTCTGGGGGTGCAGATCAGATGCCGCCGCGTTGGTGTCAACTGTCACCAGCACAGGCTGCAGCATGCGATCGCCCCAGCTCTGCTCCCTTGCGCCCCGCTCTCTACAACCCCGACCTCAGCGGACTGCCACAGCACCCAAGAGGAGGACATTCCACTGTCCATCTGACGGGAGGGGCCGGAGGCCTAAAGAGACAAGAGCCTGAGTCCAGCGCTGTGTTGTGTCCGGGACGCCTCTCCTGCCCTCTCCACTAACTCCTCCTCCGCCTGATCCCCTCTGCCCCCCCTTCAGGGCTGGAGGCAGTGGGGGCTTTGTGGAGATGGAGCTGACCCGGGTGACTTTTGCAAGCCAACTCCTGTGTCTCCAGGGCCCAGGCAAAGCATCGTGCCCAGGGCCCGGCATGCCCAGAACCTCCTCAGTGCCCCACCTGATCGTGGTCGAGATCAGCATCGCCGGTGATCACGATTCTCTTCTCGATCCGGGTCTCTGAGATCCCACCTTTTACAGTCTGGAGCCAGAGGTAAGTGAGCACATGAGAAAGGAAGAAAGGAGGGGAGACAGGGCGGGAGACAGAAAGGAAAGGAAGGGGGAAGTGAAGGAGGGTGGGGAGAGAGGAAGAAAGGGAGATAAGTAAGGAGGGAGGGAGGAAAAGAGGGGGAAGGAAGAAAAAGAGAAAAGGAAGGAAAGAGGAAGGAAGAGGGGGAGGAAGAGGAAGGAGAAAAAAAACACCAATGAAGAGCGTAAGATTATTCTGGAAGTTCCACTCTGCTGCCGGGAACTAGGCCCTCAGCTCCCTCCCTCACTCTTAGCTGGGCCCACTGAGATGTGTGTCCCCTCTATTCCCTGGGGGACTCTGGGCAGAAATATCAACACCCTACATCTCAACATTAGGCATTTTAGTTCTGTGTTCACAAAACACACCCTTGGGATCCTTGTTTTAAAGCAGTTTCTTATTTTTAATATTCAAAGATCCTCAAATGTCTTCAGGGTGGGTGAGTTTCCCGACTTGATGGATGTGGAAAACCAGGCGGAAACACCTCGCTGGCTTCTGACCCCCACGTGCTGGGGCGGATCTTGCTCAGGAACCTACATGTCTCTCTTGGGAGACAGAGAACTGGGGTTACCTCTGCTACTCAGAGCGTAGTTCCAGTATTAGATTTTCTTTTGCTCCCACAATCAATATTTTAATAATTTCAATGTCTTAACATCGAAATTACAGTTTCCCATCGCCTTGGACCTGAGCACGAGGTAAAAATTCTTTGCTGTAGGCTAGAGAGCTAGTATCGTGGGTAGGGTGTCTGCCTGTGATAAATACAAGACACCGCGAGTGCAGGGTCAAGAGTAAGGCCTGAGCACTGACAGTGCAACTCCCAAACAAAAACAAAAAACGCTCTTTGTTGGATCTGAGTTCTGATTTCTGACTTGAGAAATAATGTCTGTAGTCAGACATAGGATTCACTGATCAAAAATAGGTGTGTTAAAAGAACTACAATATGTATGTTGGTACTGTGTGTGTGTGTGTGTGTGTGTGTGTGCACGCATGGATGTGTGTGTGCTGTGGTGGAGGGGATTCTCCAAGTGCTCTGGGCTTCTCGAGTGACAAGGGCTGCTCCAGTGGTTCTCACCACACAATGCCGGGACGTTAACCAGTTCTTTCAGTTACCTCCCCAGTCATGCACATGTGAGATTTGTTTGTTTGGTCGTTTCTGGGCCACACCCAGCAGTGCTCAGGGGTCACCCCTAGGGGTGCTCAGGGGACCATATGTGGTGCTGGGGATATGTGAAAGGCAAGTGCCTCCACCCCTATTCTTCACTCTGGCCCCACACAGGTGAGTTTTCAGGTGATGTCCTCTGTAGGAAGGTCCCTCTCAGTGCCCCTCTGGGCTGAGGTCTGGGAAGGCAGTGGGGGCTCCTCCTGGACAGCAGAACAAAGGGCCTGGCAGGAACTGAGCTCCAATGCTCACTGAGGGGCCGGGGGCTTTCTCACAATGGGCAGCGCCTCCATGTGATACCGAAGTCCAGAAGGCACAGCTAGCTCATCTGTTACCTTGGTGATCTGAGTCGTGGTGGTGCTGCTGGTGGTTTCTGATGTGATGGTCTGAGCTGTCAGCAGGACCCCTGGGTCCAAGTCCCCGTTGCTGTCATCCGTCTGCAGGAGGAAAGGCACAGATGAGCTTTTGTGGGACAGTGATCTCTTAAGAAGTAAAATATATTCCCTGGCAGAAAGGCTAATTCTAACAGAAGTTGGATTTTAGCACTCTTAGTGCTAAGTGTTAACTGGTCAGTGATAGGAGTGAACTAGAAAGAGGAGGTAGAGAGGAGTTTATCCACAGGCGGAACAAGAGCGACAATAAAAACCACATACAGGGGCTGGAGCGATAGCACAGCGGGTAGGGCGTTTGCCTTGCACGCAGCCGGCATGGCCGACACAGGTTCGATTCCCAGCATCCCATATGGTCCCCTGAGCACCGCCAGGAGTGATTCTTGAGTGCATGAGCCAGGAGTAACCCCTGAGCATCGCCGGGTGTGACCCAAAAAACGCAAAAAAAAAAAAAAAAACACCCATATACATCTGGGACGGCATTTTTCGGTTCATAAATGGCACTCACACAGTCTGACAAAATCAACAGAAAGGAGAGAGATTTACTAGCACTTCCAGGTAAGAAAATCAGGGTCAGAAGAGGAAAATGACTTGCCTAAAGACTTGAAATTATTGCATATCACTATCCTCATGCAAACATGGTGCTCTCTGCATACCATCCACAGTAAGAAAGGCACCTTTTCTCAGTTGCTGAGACATGGCAGGTTCTGAACCACAGAGGAGAACTTTAGAGCGAAGGGGTAGGGGAATGTCCCTGCTGGGCTTAAGGGGCCTAGAAATCTCAGGCTACCTTCTTGGATGGGAAAATGGGGCAAACAAGGCAGAAATGCCCCTTTAAGGCAAAGGGGGAAGAAACAGACGTAAGATCTTAATCACACTTCTGATGGCAAAACTATGACAGAAAAGGATGTTTCTCATTAGAAAAGGTTTAAGATGCTGAGCTAAAAAAAAGGAAAAAAAAAAAAGAAAAACCCACAAAACTAGGGGGTTTGCAATACATCCTAAAGGAAAGAGAGAGCAAAAGGGAATGCCTTGCCACAGAGATACTGGGATCAGTGGTGGTGACGAATGGGCACTGGTGGAGGGATGGGTACTCGATCATTGTATAACTGAAACCCAAGCACGAAAGTTTGCAAGTCTACAACTGTACCCCATGGTGTTTCACTAATAAAAATTAAATAAAAAAAAAAAACAACAAAAAAATGGGGGGGGGGCGGCGGTGGTGCAGACAGAGAGTACAGCAGCAGGGCACTTGCCTTGCATGTGACTGATTCAGGTTCTATCCCTGGAATCTATATTGTACCTCTATCTCACCAGAAGTGGCCCCTAAGCACTATGGATAGCCCCCCAAAATGAACGAAGCATTCTACAGCCAAATAAACCTGATGCGGGGGGGGGGGGGGGGTGGAACTACTTTTTTCAGTCTTTCTTTTTGTATGTTTTGGGACCACACCCAGTAGTGCTTGGGGCTTACTCCTAGCTCTGCACCCAGGGATCATTCCTGGCAGACTCAAAAGATCATATGAGTTGCTGGGGATTGAACCTGGGTCAGCCATGTGCAAGGCAAGTGTGCTACCTACTGTACTATCACTCCAGCCTCCTGTTTCTTCTCTTTCTCTAAGTCATCTGTATTATAAATGGGGGCCTCCAACCTTTCTGTGAACAGAACCACATTTTGTGGAGTTACTGAAGGGTGGGGAGAGAAGGTAAAGAGAATTAGGATGGAGACTTCTGCAGGCTTGGGGACCATATAGGACACCAGACATCAGACCCAGGCTGGCCCCTACCTGCTGTACTATCATATCTGCTGTACTATCACTCCAGCCCAAAGCTTATTTATTTTATATTTATTTATTTTTTGCTTTTTGGGTCACACCTGGCGATGCACAGGGGCTACTCCTGGCTCTGTGCTCAGGAATTACCCCTGGCAGTGCTCAGGGGACCATATGGGATGCTGGGAATTGAACCCGGGTCTGCCGCGTGCAAGGCAAATGCCCTACCCGCTGTGCTATTGCTCCAGCCCCAGTTTATTTATTTTTAATGAATTTATTTTATTTTTTTTAAAAAAAGAATTAGATGGAGAAGAGATCTTGGCTAGGAATCCAGGTAGGAATTGGGACAAAATAAAGAGAGAGCACTTTACTGTGAGTGCACAGTCCTGCAGTACACAGCATACAGTAACACTTTGCACATGACCTCAGAAGACTGAAATGCAGATTCCTGCCACTGCTGGGTGATAAGCACCAAATCCGACTCTGATCTCAATCACATCTTGCAGACAGTCTTTGAGGCTTCTGCTCTTGCCCACACCACAGATAATTGTGAAGAAAACTGAGGTTCTAGGGGTTAAACAATTTGTCAGGGTTCCATTCCCAGACACCCAGCAAGACACTTCTTGAATACAGGCCAGGCTTTGAGTCCCTGCTCAGAGTGTGACTCGTTGCTGGGCCATGGACAAGTCTGAGCTGATCTTCTCATTTCTAACAGCCAGTGTGTGGGAGACGCTCTGCCTGTACCACGGCATTGTTCTGAAGATCACAAGAGGTCGGAGAAATAACAGTGCTATAAACATTGTTCTACGGAGGTGAAGGAGCTGGAGAGATGGAACAGAGATTCAGGTGCTGGCCATGTACCTGCTGACCATAGGTCAATTCCCAGCACCATGTGATCTCTTAATGTACTTAAGGAAGTGGTCCGTGAGTAAAGAGCCAGGAGTAACACTGAGCACTGCTGGGTGTGGCCTAAACCCCTTACCCACACCACCTGCAAAATAAGATTTCTGTGTTTACATGTCTAGTATTTTTTTTTCTTTTTGGATCACACCAATGATGCTCAGGGTTGGGGCTGGAGCAATAGCACAGCAGGTAGGGCGTTTGCCTTGCATGCGGCCAACTTGGGTTCGATTCCCAGCATCCCACATGGTCCCCTGAGCACCACCAGGGATAATTCTTGAGTGCAGAGCCAGGAGTAACCCCTGTGCATTGCCGGTGTGATCCAAAAAGCCAAAAAAAAAAAAATGATGCTCAGGGGTTACTCCTGGCTCTGCATTCAGGAATTACTCCTGGCAGTGCTTGGGGGACCATATGGAATGCTGGAAATCGAACCCAGGTTGGCCGTGTAAAGGGCAAATGCCCTACCCACTGTACTACTGCTCCGGCCCCTACATGCCTAGCATTATTTAAAACCAAAAAGAGAAAAAAGAAAAAAAAGAAGTACATGTGGTTATGGTAAATAAATAACCACCAGATGACCCAGTGTTTCCTATATGATAGGTCTTTCCTGTTTTGGGACCACCTCCCACAGTGCTCCTGACTCAAGATTTGATCCTGATTCTGTGCTCAGGGATCACTCCAGGGGTGCTCAGGGGACCGTATATGGTGCCAGACATGGAATCAGGCAAGACCTTCATGCCCTGTACTAGCTCTTTGGCCTCAGATATTTTTTTTCCCCTGTTATATATTTATGTCACATTTCACAATGTTCTTTTTATTCACCAATTTTTATTGTTATTGTTGCTTGTTTGTATATATGTTTGGTTTGGGGCCATACCTAGTAGTGCTCAGAACCTTCATGGTGCCAGGGTTTGGCCTTAACTTCTATACTAGCTCTCTGACGCTCATTTGCCAATTTATCATATAGAGGGTTTCCCTCAGAGATTTTTACTAGCTGAAAAATATTACCTGAATTGAATGCACCACCAACCAGCTGAGCACATGCTGTGCATGTAGGAGCCCAGGTTCAGTCCATCTCACGTGGTCCCTTGAGCACAGCAGTGAAACACAGCAGGTAGTGCTCAGGGCACTGTCAGGTAAGGCCCATGAAACTTAAATCTCTCTCTCTCTCTCTCTCTCTCTCTGGCAGTAACAAATAATAATAGCTACCATTTTGGAAAAGCTACTCTGCCAGGAAAATACTATGTTTACCCCAAAACCTTATAAAAGTTTTTCAGAAGAGAAAGTTCAAGCTCTAGAGGCTAAGGCCACACAATCACGGAGCACTGAAAATGAGATCCAAGCCAAATCCCAAAGCCATATGCTCTCGTGAGCGGGCTCTGTACTACTTGGTCAAGTTAGGGTGTTACCACTGGTGCATGTTACACTGTTTTGCACTGTGCTTTCTCATTATCATAGAAATGTACCTAATAGAAGCTTTTTTCTTTTTCTTTCTTGTTTTTTTTGGGCTGCTGCTGGCAGTGATCAGGGTTTATATCAACTCTGTGCTCAGGGATTACTCCTGACGGGCTTGGGGGGACCACTTGGGGTGCTGGGGATCAAACTGGGGTCAGCCACATGCAAGGCAAATGCCCCACCTGCTGTACTATTGTTCTCATGTCTTTTCTTCTTCTTTTTGGTTTTGGGGTCATAACCCAGTGTTGCTCAGGCTTACTTCTGGCTCTGTGCTCAGAGATGACTCCTGGTGGGATTTGGGGTGGGGGGGGAACCATATGTGATGCCGGAATCAAATCAGGCAAGTGCCCTACCCATTATACTTTCACTCTGGTCTCCTAAGGTCAGTATTTTCAATCATTAAATTAGACTGCCATCTCTATGTGAGTTGGAGGAGTGTAAGCAAGATTCAAGATAATTTTGCTTTTAATAAAGTATTTCAGGATTAAAAAACAAAACAAAACTTAGATCAGTTATCTCTTCTCCAAAAATGACCCCCGAATTGTCCAGGATTGTTTTAAGCAAATGATTAGGAATCCTGTGAAGAAAGGTGGTCTTTAATTCCATTTTGTGATGCTGATTCTGGTTGTTCATTCTGAAGTCGCAAACCATGTCCTACCTGGGCAGCTTCGTAAGTGATGGTCTTTGTCTCGGTGTGGACAATAGGGACATCTTTGGTTGGGATCTCACTTTTCACAGCATTGGCGGGGTCCGAGATGGTGACTGTCTGAGTCTTCACCAGCGGAGGCTGCAGGCAGTAAACACACAGTCACTGGGGGCTTCTGAGGCTGCTGGGAACTAATCTTCTGACATTGATTTGAGCAAAGTGATCGCTCTAATAAAGCAAAGGCCAGCTCACTCTGCCTGAGGCTTGGACACTCTTCAAAGAAACTCTGGAATCTGCTATTTTGGAATAGGTCTGACACTGGAACGTGTCAACCATGAGGAATATTAAAGAGCAGCATTACTGTAATCACCTTCAGAGGCGTAATGGAAAGTAATGTGCTCTGACAGTTATGACTGGCGATATACTCCATTTTCAGGCTGGCCTTCAGATTTTAATAGAAAAACTATTTGCCAAATAGCACTCACTTTTGTTTGTCCTTCAAACTGTACTATTATAATTAAGAAAATCAGCCACATTTTCCTCCACAAAGTACAAACTGTACACGAAACAGCAGAGGCATCAAGATATATTTCCCCGGAATTCATTAACTTCTTTCAAATCAATGTCAGATGTTCATTTCAGAGCTATTGAGAAGAAACGGCATTTGGGAAACTGGAAAGAAAATAATCAGTTTTCACCACCACCGGATGGATCAATCTCAGAATTTCAGAAGAATAACATTAGTGGAATCGCAAAGATTTTTTTTTCTTTGTCTACCAGTTCATCCTCAGACTAGCATTTGATTGTTGAGCTGAGCAGCCTCCACCTGAGCAGAGGAGAGCGAGCTGAGGGTCCCGGGAGGCCCAGGGGCGGGGCGAGTGGGGTGGCGCGTGGCACCGCGCAGCTACAATGCACGAATCAGTCTGTGGGGCCTGAGGTCTGAAAAATCAGTCGCCCCTTTTAATTAATACCGTTTGGATTTTCTGAGTGAAGCCTCCACCTCAGAGCCTTCTCATAAACTCTCTTCACAATAGCCCAAAGGTCGGGGTGGGGACAAATGTGCCCACACCCACACCGAGACACATGGGGTGGGGGGTGGGGGGGGATGGAGCTTACTCCCGGGAGTTCTGCGAAATCACCAAGAAGGGCAAGTGTTTGCAGCCATGGAGGTAATGCCTCTGAATACACGTCTTTGCAGGAATCAGCGCTTTTGTGTGATTCTATGATTTGGAAAAAAAGTAGAGAGGCGACTGCCCTCAGCACCAGCACCACCACCTTCACAGGACAGACGCCGGCCCGCTCCCAGTGCGAGGTATCAGACCTGAGTCACTGAGGCAGTTACTACCTGGAAACTTCGAATGAGGGTGGGAAACTGGTCCCCCACACCCGTCTCAAGAAATGATCCGTTCTGTTTTCCAAGTGGCTCTCCTAGTAAGACAGGATCTTCGCTACTCTCTGCCTTTTGTTCACCAAGTTGCAGTTGGGAGGAAGCTGGTGTTACTGAGAGATTTAAGGCACTGGCCTGTTCCTCCAACCCTGAACCTTCCCCACTTAGGTCTCTTGGCAGTTCCTTAACATCACAGCTGCCAGCTGCCCCTGGCTCCTCTTCTGTCTCCTTGCTGCTTATGGAGACGGAACCAAAGTCAAAGCTTTGTGGTGACTCCGACGGGGTGCTCAACTGGCTCTTACTAGGAATTACTGAATGCTGGGGGCCCTCCCGTTCAGAGTCAGGGCTGGAAGGTGGCCCCTTTGTCACGGCAGCCGCCACCTCTGTGCGCATGATATTTATAGTCTACAAATGAACACATACAAATGTAAAAAGATTAGGATTAAGTGGGGAATATGGTGAACTCTGAGACTCAACAGTGATCTTAAAGAGGCCTCACACACCTATCTATCTACCTATTTCTTGATCTATCTTTTTTGGTGTCAGGGGGTCATATCCAGGGTCTCATATAGCCAAGCAAGCACTCTACGAGTAAACATCCCAGCCCTTAAGTATTTGCGCTTAGAAGAACTAAGAATCTTAGCACCCGAGATGGTCAGAAGAGAGAACTGCTGTTCGTTAAGTCAGCAACTTAAGTAGTCCCAACTTCTTTCTGGTGATATTGTAGGGACATACACAGCAGTGATCCGGGCTTGCTCCTGGCTCTGTGCTCAGGGGACCATATGTAGTACCAGGGATTTGAACTGCGATTGGCTGCATGCAAGCCTTACTTCTGTTCCATTACCCTGGCCCAGCCATATGTCTAACATGTTGTTAATCTGAGGAAATAATTCCTATGTGTCTCCCACAGGAGCAAGTACATCATATTCCTGTACTCTTCCCTGCACAACATGTACCCTCATACTTTCCTAAATCCCTAACTCATCACTGTACACAAAAGCACATAACAAATCAAGCAAACCACATACTAAGGAGCTTGATCAGGCTGGAAAATACCTTTTATCCTCTGACTATAAGTATCATACTGGCCTCTAAAAGGAAGCAAGACCCTAGACTTTGGTTGGCAGAGATCCAGAGCTGAGTATATTCTGAAGAGACTTACTCCAACTATTGCCATGGCATCAAATAGAATATATATTTAAAAAAAAACCCGTGAAACATTTATCTGTAAACAGATTATAATGACCAAGCAGCTAGAAGTATTTCTCTATGGATGAATGACACATCTCTAACCATTAGGAGGGATAAATCCTGAAAACATAGAGTTCCCTCCTGGGCTACATCTCCTACCATAGGAAAGACAGTTTTGAAAGAAGTACTCCTCAGAGAACATGAGCAATGAGTAGATCAGATCAAAGACGAGGAGATAGCATCACAGCAGATACAGCTGTTTCTAAGTTTAAAGAAAGGGGCTGTAGACAGAAGAGAAGGAATTCATGCTTCTAGGAAAGACTATGAGTCTCTGGGAAAATAATGGTTCTGAGAGAAGTCAAATGTTATGAAAAGTAACACCTGTATGGGCTCCGCAGAGAATTGAACATAAACCACCCAAGCCCGAAATTCTGGTAGGAAGAACTCACCGTATTCCATATAGGAACTTGATAACAAAAAGGAACACCTTTGAAAAAGTGATCTGGGAGTAAATGCTTGCCTATACTTTTTTGGTTCTGTTTAGCTTTTTGGTTTTGGGGGTCCACCTGGCAGTGCTTATTCCTGGTTCTGCGCTCAGCAATCACTCCTGGGTCGGTCGCATCAGGCAAGCGTCCTACCGACTGTACCATCTTTCCAGCCCACTCATACTAATTTTAGTACTCAAAACATGTTTTACTCAAAACCAATGAAAAAAACATTACTGCTGCTCAATAATGTAGATCAGTTTCCACTGTGAAAAGCATAATAGAGTGTTCTACCAAGGTAAGAAAGGACATACTGCATGAAATAACTCCAGGCTGACTTTAAAGTCATCTTGTAAATATTTACTCAAAAGCACCTCAAAGTAGAACAGTTTGAGTTCAGACTCAGTGGGTTTTTCATGGGCTGATTACTTGGGATATGATATAAATGATTAGATCAACTGGGACTAATCTCTGTTTGCAGATATATCAGATACCTAACACATGCCTCACAAGGATATATGAAATTTCTCCTATTTAAAATGAAACCAATACTTGGCTTTAACTCACAGGGAGCTGAGGAGCAAATACAATATATGCAAAAACACCCTGAAAACTCTAAAGCCACATATATATTTACTTAATTTAACCAACATTATCTGAGAATCTATGACAGATTAAGGGAAACTTAATGGGAGTTGTTGTTATATACTAACATTCTATATTTTATAGAGCACTTATTTCACCTTATCTTTTGAATCAAATTGTTAAGGAACTGTTCAAAAATAGATCAACTGAAGCTGGGGCGACAGATAGCTCAATGAGCTGGATTACATGGTTGCATATGGGAGCCGCAGGTTCAATCCTTGGCACCGCAGGAGCCCCTGAATACTACTGGAAATGACACTTAAGCACAGAGCCAGGAGCATCACATAAGCACCAGGAACGTGGTCCCCACACTAATATAAAATTAAGTAGATTGGTGGGCAACAAACACATCAGGCTTTCTCAAAGTGCTTTCTGCTGGCTCAAACCCTGAACCGCAACTCCAAACCCACTCACCTACAGAAGAATACATGGTTTTCCAAATAACTTTGTCACAGTTGAGAAGGAGGAATCATAACCAGGAAAATACCACAGGAGATCAAGTGAATGCCTGTTAGTCTGAGTTTCCTCGAATGGTAAGTGGTGGGTCTGTCATCACGGAACCCTCCGTGAGTTAAATTTGGCTAAGGCAGGCCCACCTGACTCAGAGTAGTCTACTGTTGAGTACCGTTGGAAAGATCAGTCCCGTTTTATAAAGCACATATTGAGGAAAACAAGAGACAAAGCTGGAGCCACAGCAATGTCAATTCAACAAATACTTACTGACCACCTATGAGTGCTAGCCATGGAAACCAGGAGTGGTGTGCAGGGGAGGCAGCACTGTCACCTCCAGTGAAATCAACTGAACCGGCTCTGGTGTCCAGACCTCTTGGACAACACAGCCAGCAGCTTCGTGGACATGCTCCCACGCATAAGGAATGCATTCTGCCTCCAATTAAACCACCTCTTTTGTTGCCTGGACCTGACACCCATCTTCTGGCATCATTTCCATGACATTGGAAAATGGCACAATCATCCATTCAAACTACCCCAACAGAATCCTGAGAATCCACTTCAGGCCTTCACACCTCACAGACGGCACCATCACTTCTCACAGCTCCCTTATCTATCACTTGTCCCTGCATTTGCTATCTTCATTCTGACTTTTTGGCTTTTGGATCTTACCTGGTGGTGCTTAGAGCTTACTCCTGGCTCTGTGCTCAAGGGTCACTACTAGCAGTACTTGGGGGTGCCAGGAATCAAATCATTATACAGTGAAAAGTACAATGCAAAGCCAGAGCCTTAACCCCTGTACTATCTCTCCAGCCCATCATTCTGCCTCTAATAATGCAACTTAGGGCCTCAAGCAAGTTTTCTTCTTTCCTTTTCTTCTCTCAAAACTTTTTTGAATGCATCCACAATTCTACTGATTAAATGTTCAAGTGTTTTATTATTCCAATCTCTTTCTACATTTTCACGCTCATTCTCTCCATTAATCCAAAACTATTTGCAGTTCCTACAGTGTGCCTGCTTTTATGTTGGTACCTTTGTAAGTACTGTCAGTACTGCTACTGCTCCTTCTGTCCAGTATTGTCAAGTGTCAATACTTTTGGAAGATCCCCCCCCTCAACTATGTTTAATAAAACTGCTCCTTTTGTTCCCAATGAACTCTTGTTGTTGGCTCTGTTATGTTTTTTCCCTTTACACTATAAGCACTTAAGCACTAAGAAACATAGTTATATGGTCCTTAATGTTGTACCTCAGACATCAGTAAAACTTGCAGGACTTTTACTAAGTTATTAATTTAGTAGTCATTAATAGTCACTGGTTCCAAAAGACTAGAGAACTCCTGTTTTAACCTCTATTCAAAATCTGAAAAGGCATCTTTAGAAAGAATATAAAAAAACACTCACTTGGCAAAACCCATTATCTAAACTATCATTTTATTCCCTATCTCAGTGAAATCAGTGGAAAACTAATATTCTTGTATCTTTACCATATACTGTATTAGTCATCAGCAAGTTTGCTCCTTTATTTTTCACAATCTCACATGAAAATTATCACTTCTCTGTTATAGATAAAGAAAGACAAGCACTAAGCAAGTTAGAGCTAGTAAGTGATGGAACTGGTTAATATTCAAGTCTTCCCTGGTTCTAGCGCCCATATCTCCCCATGGTTAATGGAGAACCAAAAGATATACGCTCAGAAACATATCAAAACTGACTATAATTATGAGACGTACAGTTGTTGTTTAAAGTCTTCAGAGCATATTTTAATGTTAGTGATTGGCACTACAAATTAAATATTAACAGAGGACTGGAAATCTAGGAGAAAAGATTGTGCTGAAAGGTTGCAAAATCTCCCATAATATAGCCAAAATTTGGCATAGTACATCAAAGATAAATTTTAACTGACATTGGACACTGAATTATGAATCTTCACAATTACATGTACCAAAAAGACCTGGTAATATTTAAGGGATCTTCTTAGAGATTTGAATATATGGCTGTATCTGAGCCAACCAGAATGACATAAAAATGGAGACTTAAAGTGATTCAGATGTTGCTTCTATAAGAAGAAAGATACTACAGCAGAAAGACCAGCTGTCTGTATAAAGCTATATGATCTAGTTTTGTTCAGATATGTAAGGAAGGATGCAGCAACACTGTATGGTTGAAGATACTCAATTCCATTAAAAAAAAACCCCAATGACATCATAGTGCCTCAATAAAAATGGGGGTGGGGGAGCAGAGAATCAAAGACTTCTGCTAAGTGTGATAACCACTTTTCAAAGGGATTATGACTCAGAAGCATCAGAGCTTGTATATGTATGTGCCTCTGAATTAGAAATGGTCTCTCCTGGGACTAAGAGATTCTAGATAACCTTAAGATCAGGATGAGCCTTTCACAGGTACTATGCTGCCTCTCTCTTCAAAGCAACAAAGAATCTCTTTCTTTCCACATTATTTTTGAAGTGAAGGGTTCACATATTTGGAGATGTAATTAAAAGAACTATAGTTATGCTCACGAGACTATCTTATAAGTGCCACAATGAAAATAAATCATGAAAATCTTTTAGAATATTATGCTATCTGAGCCAGGGAGATGGCTCCAAGGCTGAAGTGCAGGGCTTAGCATGCAGGAAGC